GTTTTATGTCAGAAGAGTCATACTAGACTACATCGACCTGTTAGGGTGGAACGGATGGCTCTTTGTGAGCTGTCAAAACAATCGTCCAAGTGTGAACCTTAAACGGGAACAAAACTTGCGACAAGCTCACTCAGCCTAGTGAACGGACATTTTGATACTTTGGTGTGCTAGAAGAGGTGTTTATACTATCTCTTAGCTTTTTTCAGACACAAAAAACTTTTCTAGGTATTTTTATGAGTAAAATGGAACATATGCCATTTTCATGAGCAACATCAGATAATCATAAACTTAAAGAAAGGTAAACTATTGTGAGTTTATAAGTTTGGCTTATATGATATGGAATTAAAAACTTTACTCTATCTACATTGTACTTTACATCTAATCACTTTACATAAATCAACCTACATCTTTTTTTACACACAAAATATGTGGTAAAATAATATGTAATTATATTTCATTAACATAGTTGTGCACTACATTTGTCAACAAAAGCAAGCAATTTGTAGGTGATTTTTCATTTTCAGTTTGAATAAATAATTTCTTGACTAATTTATATAATTTTGGTAACCTAGTTGTTTGCCCTTAATCTGCTACGATCATACATATTATGTTTTCAAATTTAATGCGTCTCAACAAATTCTCTCATTTTTAACTATTCAAATCATTTTTCATTTTACGGATATGTAAAATTAAAATAAACATGAGATAGTACATTAGTAATCTCATTTTTATGTAACACTACTTTACCTTTGCGCTAAAACATTAACTCCATTTGGTTCTTAAATATGTATTTTTATTGGAAATTTAAAACTACTATTCGTAACATATAAGCTGACACATTTCTTCAACTAGTAATCGACTGTTCACTTCAGATTATGATTGGTCAGCCTTTTTTGTGTGATGAAACAAAATTCTACCTAATAGTAACATAAATAATATACATCATGAATAAATGATAAATTAGTTGCTTTAATTGGTCTGTTTTTAATTTTACATTTAATTACATTGAATTACAATTCATTCTAGTATTGAAAACGTTGCTAACTGTAGGCTAAATTTTCCGGAATCATCGAATGATTTCTGTTAATTTCCGTCTATTGCTTGATACAATGAACCGGGTTAAATTAATAAGTGCGATAAAATATCTGCCTCCATTAAAAAATTCTTAGCGTAAAATGTCGGGAAATAAATCGAATATAAGCCTAAAGGTAACAACGCACTAAACCAGTTAATGTGAGAACTTTCCCACTCTGAACGCCATTGGCCTTAACTTTCACTTTATGATACATTCCTTTTCACGCACATACTAAAGAAAATCTTATGCAAGGAATATTAATAGGATTGATTTAGTTTTAGTCCAAAATAAATTGTAACAACACATCTATCTTTTTAATACAACATTTCAACAAATTTAAATACTTTTATTTTTAATCAACTTTCATGTTTAAAACCCATCATTTTTATAAATCTGTTCATGAACAGAATCAATTTAAATTGCTAGAGAGATACCAAGTGTTAACCAGCGCTGGTAGTTTTTATTGGTAAGTTTACATGTAAAATTTTCTATACTATCGTAAACAGGGTAAACTTGCAACAACAGAGACTGACTTCGGTTGTAATGTGATTTTTAAGAGATGTTATACTAATTAGAAAAATTAGATGTATACACATTCATACCAAAGTAAAGGTTTTTAGGACGTGAAGCTTTGATATTGTTTGAATACCGGACAGTATTAAATATGGTAGTAACTATGTTTATCTAAAAATTTTAGATAAAACATGAATGTATTCAAATGTGAATTGTAACTAATTTTTTTTCAATATTTATTATCTCATATTATATGTTAATATGACATACAACAGGTACAATAGACACCTAAATCTAATACTCTTTTCAATAGTAACTTATATTCTTTCCAAAATACTATAATTATTTACCACTTCAAATAAAGAATAGTGAATAGACTGTAAGGCGGTCGTAATGAAATGTTAATGTATTAACTGGATGAATAGAGTATAAATTAAGTTAATTAGCCTATCAGAATTTTATACCCGGCAAGAGCCAACCCCTAGATTAAGATCATTGCTCTCCAAATTGTTACCTAGCCCATCTATAAAACCTAGACCAAAATATAATTAACTGTCATAGCCCCATGAGATTGTTGTAATATAAGCTATAGGACCTAAATATATCTTATTGTAACTTTATTGGAATTTTTTATTATCTATTTTAAGTAAATTTATATTGATAAAATCCATTAATAAAGTGGAGTAGGTTGCAAAATGTCAAGTTTTCAATTAAGTTGTCAATATAGGTTACGGCTCCTGATGTGTAAAAATAAAGATTACCATAAAAAATTTACTACAAAGGTAGTGGAAAACTCATCTTACTTGTGAATCCTTCATTGTACTCAGAAACAAACCCTAGAAAAGTGTTCATAAAGAACATAAAGCTTCCCCTACAAGTAAACATGCCCTCTGATTAGAACAAGTAGTATTGTCAAAGTGTAAATAAGCATATAGTCCTCTAAAACAACACTATCCAACTATGTACTAAATATGTTGAGTATCCAAAACGATTCGATAATACAAATAATCTACTCACATATTCTCAATGTAACACTTCATAATACCGCTCCAATGTTCATAATAACGGCAAAGGAGGTTTTTAGACTGATGCATACAAATATAAATTTACCTCAGTATTTGCTAATTGTACAATAAAGTTCTTTTCATCTTCATTGGTTAAAGATCTGTAGCGAAATTAGTGTATTTTAATGTTTTATTTAATGGTATTCAAAGTGTTTCCTGTTGTAAATGTACACTTCTAGGTCTCGATTAAAACTAATTACTGTGTGTCTAAAAAAATAAAATACTACTCAGCTTGTTAAACTTTGGAAGATTAATAAAGAAAAGAACACAACTGTAAATATTCTTAGTTATTTTACAATTCCATAGGTCTAATAGTGCTTTGAATGAATAATTTGTATGTATTGTAATTTGTATGTGTATAGTAGTTTCATAACACCTAATTTTCCATTAGTACTTATATGAATGTTTTTTAATATTAATTAAATTAATTCTTAAATTAATTTCCTTTAATATATAGTTACAATACATTTTCCGCTACTAGAATTATAGACTTATGAAGTGATAAAGTAAGAGGCTTGTAGATTGGGACGAAAGGTGCGGACGAAATTTGAATAAATGTGGTATTGGGTGGCGTAATCGGCTTACAGTTCTATTGTAGGCGAGGCTGACATGCACCTGGACATGTAGCTAAATAGTTGGCCGGGGATTTGTAAATATTATTAAGATAACAGGATAGTTGCAGATGGACACCATTCCTTCAAAAAAACAGTTAAAACAGAAACTTGAAGTTAAAACGCAGTACAAGAATTTAGCAATTTAGTTTATATAAATTTGTTAGCTTTAAAAATCTGGATGATAACTTAAAAAATAACATTTTAAAACTTTTTAAATCTGTCTGAACAAGGTTGGAGGAAGTTTTAAACTCCTCTGTCAGTCATTGACTTGCTGACAGTATGTGTTGCGGGCATTTTACGTTAAAGTATAAAATTTTAACTTAAGTTTGTTGCTAAACACATTTTTAAACTACGAAAATTGGGCCATCAACTAATATGTAGTCTTATTCAAACTGCCCAAAGTAAATAAAGCTTTCTTCATTTGGATCTCTTTTCAATAGTAACTTATATTCTATCCAAAATACTACAATTGTTTGCCAATACGAATAAAGAATAGTTAATAGAATAGAATAGACTTTAAGGCGGTTTGGCAGTGAATCGATGATTTGACTTTCTGTGTTTGGATTCTGTGCTAAAAATCAGGACGTAAATTATATGATCAATATTGCTCTGTAGTAATTTTCTTTGTTCACAAATACCAGATGCCAAAAAAATACCATTAGGTGTACAGTTCAGGCAAAATTCAATGTTTTATATAAAATGTTGGACTATAAATTACAATGCCATTTTAGCTAGTAACTATAAAACACTACTGGATCAAATGCCCAGTTATATTTCTTTACATCCTAATGTACTGTTTTATTGTAGTTTATTTGTAAGAAAAAAACTTTATTCATTTTGTCAACACAAATTGACAATACATAATTTCGCAAATTCATATTTTCAAAATATGTTTGTTCTGTGTACCAAAACCCTAGCTCACCGAAGTTAAGTTTAACTAGAAGTAGTACTAAGGCGCAGTTCGCCGTGTTATCGCCAGATGGTGTGGCGGCCTTTATAGCGTTATGTTGGCCTAGCCTAGCACAGGCTGCAAAGGATATTGCCAACATCATTACACTATGCAAATGAAAGTTTTGTGAATATGATCGGTGCAGCGTCTACCCAACCCGCTTAACTTGTTATTATTAAAATATAAACAATTAAGTCATAAGGAATTTGGATTTTAACGTAAACATGGTCATTTTTTTCATATTAATCGATACACAAGACTAACTTTATCATGTTCCTTCATTCTCTATGTTTTCTAAAGTTAGTTACAGGTAGTAATTTAGTAAAGGTTTTAGTGGTCGTAATAGTAGTACTGTAATTGGTTTGAGTTAACTATGAACCTTCTGGTAGTCTAAAGGTAGATTCGATTATATATAAGGTCAGCTCTATTTCATAGCATATGAATTATGCAAGTGCTTATACTTTATCTCTACCCATGTATTGATATGAAACTATTATTAATATACCTAAACTGACCTAACCTATAAATAGGAGGGGCAAGTTTATTTATTTCCCCAACAATAAATAGAAAAGGTAAGTAATATATGCATGCAATTAAAAAAACTTAATCAACAAGGCTACCGATGGCTTAAAACACCGACATTTAAGTGACCTATGTTTTTTGTAAATGAAAGAAATAACACTAGGATTGAGTAGGAAAGATATTATTTGAGGGTTCCCTAAATGATATTGAGTAGAGATTTACAGTACACTCAGTACAGATAGTGACCTCTGATTGTAGACATGATGATAGTGACACCTCTGGTAATGGTCAAAGTGCACCTCGACTCCCCCAATTTATGTGTTCGCATTGCAGCTGATTTCACAGTTATTTATCAGTACAGAATGAAACCAAACCACTAGGTTAAAGCCTATTACAATGAAGTTTATAATAGAAGTAATTAATTAGTGTACTAAGAATCAGATTTAAGGGTGCGTCAGTTACTCCAGATTGTTGATATTTTATGAGACTCCGTGAATGGAAGAGTGTTGTTTATTGAATAAGGTACTCAAGTCGCCCCATTGTAATGTGTCAATGCCCATAAACAGTGATATGGTACAATAAAGGCTATATCTTGAGTCGAGAGTGTGTATAAACTCTCAATGGCATAGGTAGTTATTTTAGCTGGAGTTTATCTAAGGTTATTATAAGTTAGTCATAAATTAAATTAATTAGAACCAATTTCCAAGTATTACGAACAAACAACTACAGTATATTAAGTGCAAAATTCCATATGCAAATGGTTAACTGTTAGTTTAAGGAATTGACCAATAAGCTATTAAATGAAGGTTTACCACATTTTAAACTTAACTCTATATTAAATAGGAATTTCTATATATGAACACTTTGTTCAGTTTTATACAGACATTTTTTACAAGTATTTTACTTCTTCTGTAAACTTAATTAATGTAATGTGTGTTACGAAAACAAGAAATTATGCTAAAACTCCCTTACTCGATCATGTCATATCCTTGTTCTATACATTTACTACTGAGATAAAAGAGAAAAATAAATAATTGATTTGAATATATGTTTATCTAGTAAATGTATACGCATATGGGGGGTATAGTTATAGGTATAGGGTATATACAAGAATATTTAACTGTTTTAAATAGATGTTATTTAATTTGTTTTATTTATCGACTCGTTTATAATCAATTTTTAACTCTTGATATTATTTTTATGTTTGTACATTATGCTTGTACTCTGTTGGACATCATGTTTGTATCTCAAAGTTGCTGGCAATGTACTGATACTATTCAATACTACTGATACTACTACAATGTACTGGCTAACGATACTACTCTCTTCTCTGGTGACAGTGATTTTGGTGTTTCCAGGGCTGCAGTCCAGCAGTTGCTGGAAACTGCCTCTGTCTGGTTCAGAGAGAATAAGTTGACTCTAAATGAGGCGAAGACACAAACCATCACATTTAGTTTGTCAAAGAATAATGCTTTTGATCAGCCTGCCAAACTGCTGGGCTTTGTACTTGATCCGCAGCTGAATTGGACTAATCACATTGAGCTCATTTGTAATAAATTGAGCAGAGTAATGTACCTGCTCCGACGTTTAAAAGCTGATATGCCCCAGGAGTTTGTTCGCGTTGCTTATAGGCCTATGGCCTTCTTCCAATCTCACTTACAGTATGGCACTAGACTCTGGGGACATGCGCCTGCTATCCAAAAAGTTCTAATTTTGCACAAAAAAGCTGTCAGGGTCCTCTGCGGAGCCGAGCAGCTCGCGCATTGCAAACCCCAAATTAGGTTAACCAAAATTTTAAATTCTTTTCCTGTTGCAGGTATAACATTTTTTAACACTTTGCCTCTGCAAGTCAGAAGAAAACCTGCTAAGGCGTTTGCAAAAATTGTAAAGGATTGGTTGGTTGCAAACCCATTTTATTCCCTGCAGGAGTTTTTCAAAACAAATCATGACTCAATGAAGTAAAAACAAAGAATTTTAGGAAGAGATTAATTAAATTTATCCCTGCCTGCAGGTATGAGTGTGGTTTTTTAGTTTTGTGCTTTTTTCCTGTTTTGTAAATTTTTACATTTTTCCACCGCATGTTTTACAGTTTTTGAGCGGAGCGAGCGAAGCGAGCGAAGCTCTTATACGTCGACTTTTATGCATTTGGTAATACGCAAACTCCTCCTAGACGGCTGAATCAATCGTTTTCAAATTTTGCATGGTGATAAAGACCATATCGGTGAGTGCCAACATCTATATAGCGTTAAAAAAGTCTCTCAGGAATCCGCCCCACTGGGTCTCAAAGTTTCAATGTAATCCTTATGGAAGCAGTATTTGACACATAAACAAAGACATATGATCAGCTGTTGACTTTTGAATGCAGTAGATAAATAAATAGCTGATAGCATTATTCCACAGATATTAGAACATAAACGGTGGTATGGATCATAAATATAATCAAATGACACTAGCTTGAGGTCCGTGACGTAGGAAGTGGTGAAGGAAGTAGTAAAGGTGAGCAGTCTGGAGTGTGGAAACTGTTTAAGACGATTAGATTTAGGTAGGTATATGCATTCCTGAAATTCTATGGTAAGAGAGGAAAACGGGTCCGTGACGTAGAAAGTGGTGAAGGAAGTAGTCAAGGCGAGCTGCCCGGAGTGTGGGAACTGTTTATGACGATTAGATTAAGGTATCTGCATTCCTAAAATTCTATGGGAAGGGAGGAAAACGGGTCCGCGACGTAGGAAGGGGTGAAGGAAGTAGTAAAGGTGAGCTGTCCGGAGTGTGGAAACTGCTTATGACGATTAGATTTAGGTATCTGCATTCCTAAAATTCTATGGGAAGGGAAGAAAACCGGTCCGCGACGTAGGAAATGGTGAAGGAAGTAGTAAAGGTGAGCAGTCTGGAGTGTGGAAACTGTTTAAGACGATTAGATTTAGGTAGGTATCTGGATTCCTAAAATTCTATGGGAAGGGAGGAAAACGGGCCCGTGACGTAGGAAGTGGTGAAGGAAGTAGTCAAGGTGAGCTGTCCGGAGTGTGGGAACTGTTTATGACAAATAGATTAGGGTATCTGCAATCCTAAAATGCTATTGGAAGGGAAAGAAACAGGTCCACGACGTAGGAAGTGGCGAAGGAAGTAGTAAAGGCGAGATGTTCGGGGTGTGGGATCTGTTTGTGACCATTAGATCAAGGTATTTGCAATCCTCCTATGATGCTATGGGAAGGGACGGAAACAGGTCCGTGACGTAAGAAGTGGTGAAGGAAGTAGTAAAGGTGAGCAGTCCGTGGTGTGGGAACTGTTTATGACGATTAGATTAGGTATCTACAATCCTAAAATGCTATTGGAAGGGAAGGAAACGGGTCCACGACGTAGGAAGAGGTGAAGGAAGTAGTAAAGGCGAGCTGTTCGGGGTGTGGGATCTGTTTATGACGATTAGATTAAGGTATCTGCAATCCTAAAATGGTATGGAACGGAGGAAAACTGGTCCGCGACGTAGGAAGTGGAGAAGGAAGTAGTAAAAGCGAGCAATCTGGACTGTGGAAACTGTTTATGACGATTAGATTAAGGTATCTGCATTCCTAAAATTTTATTGGAAGGTAGGAAAACAGGTCCGCGACGTAGGAAGTGGTGAAGGAAGTAGTCAAGGCGAGCTGTCCGGAGCGTGGGAACTGTTTATGACGATAAGATTAAGGTATCTGCAATCCTAAAATGCTATTGGAAGGGAAGGAAATAGGTCCACGACGTAGGAAGTAGTGAAGGAAGTAGTAAAGGCGAGCTGTTCGGGGTGTGGGATCTGTTTGTGACCATTAGATTAAGGTTTTTGCAATCCTATAATGCTATGGGGAGGGAGGGAAACAGGTCCGTGACGTAGGAAGTGGTGAAGGAAGTAGTAAAGGCAAGCAGTCCGGACTGTGGGAACTGTTTTGGACGATTAGATTAAGATATCTGCATTTCTAAAATGCTATGGGAAGGGAGGAAAATTGGTCCGCGACGTAGGAAGTGGTGAAGGAAGTAGTAAAGGTGAGCTGTTCGGGGTGTGGGATCTGTTTGTGACCATTAGATTAAGGTATCTGCAATCCTAAAATGCTATTGGAAGGGAAGGAAACGGGTCCACGACGTAGGAAGTAGTGAAAGAAGTAGTAAAGGCTAGCAGTACGGAGTGTGGTAACGTTTGTGGCAATAGATTAACGTATCTAAAATACTAAAATACTATGGAAAATGATTAATACAGGTCTACGACGTAGGAAGAGGCTTAGGAAGTAGTAAAGTATGAGCATCAGCATAGTGTGAGATCCGTCTGTGGCAGTTAGATTATATGTTTCTTCAATACTAAAATGCTATGAGAAAGGAAGGAAACAGGTCTATGACGTAGTAAATGGTGAAGGAAGTAGTATGGCTAGCAGTGCAGAGTGTGGGAACTGTCTTTGGCAATTAAATTAATGTATCTGCAATCCTAAAATGCTATGGGAAGAGAGGGAAACAGGTCCACGACGTAGGGTGTGGTGAAGGAAGTAGTAAAGGTGAACAGTGTTGAGTTTGGGAATGGATTAATGTATCTGCAATGCTAAAATGCTACGGGAAGAGACTGTAAACTGTATGTTAATTGATTACGAAGCACGAATCGATACATATTGTCGATACATGCAATCGTTTGCAATCGAAAATTACAACTGAGTTGACAACAGCTGTTTTTACTCCATAGAAGCTAAAAAAAATTTTACTCCCTAAATATTAAAAATGCTACTTTAGACCCGCAACGCATGCATTAAAAACTACTGTTTTTACTGCAGTATGACAAAAACAATATAATATGAACCCTTGATGACTCCGCTCAATTTTGTGGATGCCTCTGCAAACGCCACCTAGTTATTTATCTATTTATTTTGCATGATGTGCTTTATGATGGACTTAAGTTTGTGAGTCAAGAGGAATGGCAACTCTTTTTTGGTAGTATTAGTGACTTGGCCTATTGTAAATAACACTGAACGGCTCAATAAATCTTGAATCTTGACATAGCCTATAACAATATTGTTGATTGGCCGAATAAAATCATTGTATCATTGTATCAATATAAATGAGATGCTAAGGAAAAAGGACAATGCCAGTTCATAAACTGTATTTATTATTTTGCCCTTGAACTCCGTACAAATTTAAAGATTTAACTTTTTTATTAGAATTTAAGTTACCTTTTATACACAACAAACAAAATTAGCCAATAAAATATTTACACTGTAACAGTTGGTACGGATACATCGTGGTTAGATCATTATAAAGGGTGCACCAAAAAAACCTGACGGCTTCTGTTTTGTAATAACTCAGCTTTTATACAAGCTAGAGACCTCATTGTTGTAGTGAACGATTTCTTATGTTATGCCATTTTTAGATTATGTTTGGTGAAAAGTCACTTGGTCGAAAGAAAGTTACTGTCTAGTGTGGTGTGGCGCGGTTTGGAGTCATCGGACCATATGTTTTTAAGGACGAAAGGGGAAACACCGTCACTGTAAACCCGGAACACTATGTGGAAATGCTGATGGGGTTTTTGGTTCCACAACTGCGGATGTTAAGAGGGATAGACATGACCAACACATGGTTTCAACAGGGCGGCGCAACATGTCACACAGCCAATTATTCAATGACAGTTTTGCGTGAGCTCTTTCCCGGTAAAGTGATCTCTTGGTTTGGTGATGTGCTGTGGTCAGCTCGAACCGCAGACTTAATTTTGTGTGACTGTTGGCTGTGGGGATATTTAAAAAGCAAAGTGTTTGTTTCGAAACCTCGAACCATCCCTGAACACAAGCAGTGTATCCGGGAAGAGATTGCTACTATTTCTCAGATGAAGGTGACTGCTAATATGCAAAAATTATGGGAATCCTACGTTTAGGAGATGGTCATCACCTAAGTGATATAATTCTTCATAAATGAAAATGTGAACAATATAACATTATTTAATACATAAAATTGAATTTTGTTCTTGAGTTATTCAGTATTAAAAACCATCAGGTTATTTTGGTGCACCCTAGTTTTACAACAAAGCCATATTGTTAGGTGCCTTAATTGTTTCCTTTTAAGTTGCTAATGTGTGGTGTTTTGTTTATAGTCGTTACTCACTGTTAAAATTAGATTACAGGAGCAATAATATTTTGAGAGTGTATTAATTTGTACGGTTATTGCATTAAGTATATAAGTTAAAAGAGAATTGTTCACAAACCTTTTATTTTACAATATTTAATTATTTTGTATATGGCTAGGCTAGTTTCAGTAAGTTAGTGGCTAGGACAACTTAGAATAGTTAACTCCAAGCAAGGAATTAAAAACAAAAAAAAAGAAAAAACCGCTTTTTCAATACTCTACCTGGAGAGCCAATGAGCATTCTATAGAATGACTGGGCAAAGTATGTAATGTGCTTAATGTTGTTTTATAATTTGCCTGGTTCATGATATGCATCTTATTGATTAAATACGCATTCTATAGAACACCTAAATATATACATTACCGGTAGCATATACACATAACTAATGCCTTAAATCTATTCTCATACAAATAATAATGTCTATATTTGTTTAGACAAATATTGATTGGATTTTTAAAGTGACTAGCTACCCCTTTCAACCTTGCACTTGCAAAACATAGACCTCGGGCCTGTTGGTGGAACTCCAGCAAAGAAAGCATGGGGTGTACCAATATAGTATATGTAAGGGCGAACTGTAGATATTCCTATACTGATAAAAAGAACAGTTTTAGGCAGGGTGTCAGAATCTGAATCCCTGAATCTGACTAGACCTGTCGTCTAGTCCATGGTGCTGCCGACTGAGCACCGGTTTGTAAAATAAATTGTTAACTTGAATCAGAGAAACTTGTATTAGAAATTATTTCCTAAAAGTCGATAAAACATATATGCTTGATTTATTAG